TGTGGGTATGTAAGCATGTATGTCTTTATGCCTTTATATGTGTGTTCTGAATTGAAGTGCACTTTGTCTGCCTTCTCCTGCCATTCTTAGCCACAGCAGAGCGAGTATTATGCTGTAATCATGATTTATTGGTCACTTAGCGCCAACGCGCTCCCTCAACTTCTCCCTGAAGCGTGCCGCGTACTAAGCAAAATGTATTTACATATTCGTCTGCATGTATTTAGTTACTTCCGCACTTCTGACTCATGACAATCTTTAATAATTTATTATTTCACGTTAAGAGACATTCTCTCTCTCCCTCTCTCTCTCTCTCTCTCTGTGGACACTATATCAAATAATATTGTACAGGCAATACATATTTACATTTGCATTTTGCTCTTCGCTATTTGAGCTGCACATTTGTCACAGCATGCCCCTGCCGCTCAGCCTGCGTGTGCTTCAAATATATTTACATCATTATTTAGGATTTTTTATATTTTATAACTCCGCGCCTCCTCCCGTCTACTTCATTTTACCTCTTCTGAATAGACTGATTCCTCTTGCGTGGTGGAGCCGGTTTGTACGATTGGGGGGATGACTGACTAGTTGAATTACGCTTTGGGAGCTCAGGCGTCGTTTATTGCTCGTAGGCAATAAAAATGCCTAAAATGCGCTGTTGTTGTAGTTTAGCAAGTCCTTATTTATGTAACAAACGAATATGAAAAATGAAAAATGCGACCTACTTCCTCTTCCTACTTGCTGACTTAAATGTGCTCATTACTTCAATACAAAAATCGTTTGTTTGTGTGTTTGTCATTGAACTGCTTTTAATCGCCTGGACCGATAGTGGCCCAAGAACCTAATCGAGAGAATCGTGTTTATGGTCCAATTTGTACTTTCGTAAACAGGATTTGATTTGGATTAACACGGATAAAACTTTATCTTCCAGAAATTGCCTCAGCAAACAAACCTGTTCATAACAAAATCGTTTATGGGGCCCGATTTATTTGAATGTGGCTGGCTGTTGCACGTCATAACTTAAAAGTGGCTGGGTAGGAACTTGAAAAGTGAAGTTCTCTTTCGAAAAGTCAATGGAACGATGAGCTGGGCGGGCTATGCGGCGCTATTGGCAGTCTTGCTACGCTGGCTAGGTCATGCGGTCCGGATCGATAAGAACATTCTAGCTTTCTTACTTAGGACCAGGTAGAGATGGACCTGAATGCACTTGGTAATTGACGCCAAAAAATGAAAAGTACTTTCTTCCAGATTGTTTAATCTATTTTAAAGGTAATAACATATTAAGTTATATACAGTAATGTTTCACAGGAAATATTTTCGTTGAACTTTTAAACGCCTTAAGAGTATTTTCATTGTAAAATTTTTTGAAAGATGCTTTTCTTCAACATTTTAACCATCCAAATATATATTTTTTTTAAATTCTTCAAGTAAGGATTAAAAGATTCGAACCAGCCTTTGGCTCCTAACTTTTGACTTTATATATTCAGACAACTGGCATAGTTTTTACTTGTCAATGGTCCAAAAGATTTTTTTGCATTTATTTATTGAAGATTAGATCTTTCAAATTTTGGCCGCGGTTACGTCTCAGATGCGCGCGATGTTTTGCTCCACAAAGACTTTAGAATTTCCATATCCCAACAGGAAAAAGTCCAACTGTGTGGTATAACAAGATTTTGGTGACCAATCGACCGTCACTGATTAATTTGTTGTGTGAGAAATGCCGCCGTCTTGTTGAAGCCGATGGCGCCGAGAACATGAGCTTCAATTTCAGGCATCAAATTGTCGGTTTTCATAGCGCAATAGTGGTCACCATTAAGGGTTTCGTTCTCATCGGCTTCATTTTTGAAAAAATATGGACAGATGATTCCATTGGCCCCCAAACCACACATAACCATTAGTTTTTCTGGATAAAATGGCAGCTCTTGAGTTTCTTCAGGTTGCTCTTTGTCCCAAATTGGCCTCATCGCTTGAACACAATTTGGCTCGCAAACTTGGAATTTTCTAGGAACCTTTCAAGAGCTCATAGAACGAAGCGGTGCCGCTTGGGGAGGTCGAACGGCTTCAGTTCTTGCGCAAGCTGTTTTTTTTTTATGCTTTTAATTTAAGATCTCGACAAATGCGACAAGTCGTCCCATACGTCAGTCCGAGTTACTGTGAACAGCGCCGAATTGACTCTCCAAGGTCTTCAGTGTACATACTCAACTACGGCCGCTATATTTTCTTCACTGCGTGCTGGAAGTGGTCTATTTGGTCAAATATTATCCAATAATGAATGCTGGGCCTCAAGATGGGTGAGGGTGTTGCGATCTGTCGAATAAGACTATTGAAAAACCACCTCTACCTATATCACCCGATATGAGGAAGATTTAATACCTTGGGAGATTCATTTTTTTATTATTGTGGCTATATTCTGCTAATTAGAAACTCCTCAATATTTTTGAATTCTTCAACATTTATATATAAACATACTCAAACACATTTATATACTCCTCCAAAACGGCTTTAGGTCTGAGTATCGGCCAACATATATTTTTCACACCGCGAAAAGGACCAGGACCTGATCTATTCACAAAATTTGAATTTATGATCCGATTCTTGAAATAATACATAGATTAACAGGAACATTACTTTTCTTTCCAGGATAAGTACCTAAGACCGATCTATTCGAAAAAATCGTTTCTTTCAGAAGTGGACCAAGGGACACCGAGCAGATATTTGATTGGCTTGATCCATTCCATAACTCGTTTCCTTGCATTTACATGCTTTACAGGCTTTCTCTTAAATTGATAACGGCAGGACCGAAATGAAATTCAGCTTTATTTAGAGAATCTCGGGGACCGATTCATGCGAGATAATCTTAGTTACTATTCGATTCACTTGAAACTTTATTTGTCGGTAGCATATCGTTTAGATAAACATGCAGAAACTGATTCTTAATAATTTTATGTTCAATGGTTCAGTTAGCTTTTTTTTTTTTTTTTTTATTTTCGTTCGTAATTTAATTTAAGTAATTTTATGAGAATTACCCACGTTTACGTGTTGACAAACCATCTTTGCTGTTTGTTCTTGCTTGCCTACTAAGCGATTTTCGGTTGAGCTCTTCCTCTAATTTCCGATTTTGCGCCCTGATCTTTTTGCAACAAACGGAGGGACCTACAACGACGAATCCAATCAAACCGAATAAAGCTGTGAAGTCTTCCAACATCTGAGCTTTTCAACACCAAGGACCATAGTGAACAGTACGTTGGTATCCTTAACATTCATCGAAATAGTGCTAACAACGTTGATTATGTCCGGGCTTAAGATCTCTCGGATAGCACTAATACTAAGGTGTGACTGACAAATGACAAACATACCCCTGCGGGTTAGGGGCTCAAGAATTTACCCGCGGTAAGGCATGCCTGTCGTAAGAGGCGACTAAAATCCAATAGTTCTCGCGACAGTCGGGTCTTTATACCGGAACGACCCGGATTTTTATCCGGCCAAGGACTGTCACTCCCGCAACATTCCCCAAAAAGTACTTTGGGGAATAATTTTGCGGTTACAACAACAACAACAACAAATGACAAACAGATAGACGGACGGACAAGTCTAAATCAAGCCAACTCATCATTCTGCTGCGATCGATATAAATTATGGTGGGTCTCTCTTTTCCTCTTCTCGTATTCGCATACATACTTCGAATTATACCATTTGACGATCAGAAAAGGTATAACAAATGCCGTTTATATCATAATCCCCCCGCAACTTTCTTTATTTGCCTTCATAAAAATGTTTTGTATTCACTTATTTTTTTATTTATTTTATTATTCATAATTAAATTCAATTTACTTTACTTGTATATAAATTTGAAATTTTCCATACTTAATTTATGGGTGTATATGCATATAATTAATACGCGGCTCATGCAACAACATAATTGCATGTAGCAAGTTCACTTACAAATAAATATTGACTTAAAGGCTAACAATAGTGCCATGCAGCGAACCACTACATTGTTGTTTTTAATCATCAGGACATGCATAATCGAATAGGTCTAAAATATTTTACTGTGTTTAGCGCAATACTTATTATGTCTACTTGCGATTTTTCACATTTATGAGATACTTGCCGTTTACAATCAATACTACATTGTTGAGGTTTCATTCGCCTCTACTCACAATCACTTTTACTTTCATTAACATTTATGTATGTAGAAATAAGTTTCATATTGCTAGCCTCCAGCGAATTGTTTTCTTATGCACATAAATACACACTTAAATAGGACTACATAATATGCTTTACAAAAATATATACTTAAAATAATACAAATGTATATTTTCTACTATTTACGCTGCATTAATAAAGATTATCAGATAAAAACAGATTTTCGCTTTTAACTATACAATTTTTTTTCTACGTGTTTTCTTGTTGAATATTTCAGAGCAAGGACTAACTATTGCTAGGCCATTGCATTGAAAAGACTTTGGAAAGCATAAATAAACTCAAGCCTAACAAAGCAAAAGCCTGCTTTTATCAACGAAAAATCATTTTTCTACTCGCTTAAAATATTTTGTTTGGGATTTTTTTAATACATGCTTCCTTTGATAAAAAAAAGGACTTCTTAGAGTTTTTCGCAATATCTTCAATAATAATACCTAAACTTATACAAATACATAGATACAAGTTTTTTGAGTATACATATATACAATACAGCAACAGCAGTACACTAAACATAATCATAATCATGACGATATAATAATATTTTCCAAATTGATTTTTTTAACTAAAACAAAGCAAATAATTGCACTTCGCCTTCATAATACACTGTTCGCTAAAAAAAAAAACTACAGAAATAATATTTAAACAAAAAGCAATTCTAAAAGATTTTTTGAAGAAATGAAAACAAAGCAAAATGGTTTTAAATTATTTGCAAAAATGTAAAAAATATCAAAGAAAAGCTAATGGCAGTTATTTGCTTCCGTTGATTCAAATCCTTGCGGAGAAAATTGCTTGTGTCTTGCTTTCTTCACTTTTTTTTTTGATTTAAAACTCTTAGCTAACGCATAATTTGGTTGTCATATTCGCTCTTTGCTTTCAATCCGTTATATTATTGTTTTTGTGTTTGAAAAGCATTACCGAAATATGAGTGCGGCCAATGTCCGTTCAGTCTGAAATGATACGTAAAGAAAACCAATAATTCTTGTAAGTTCTTTTTTAGTTTTGGTGTTGGTCAAAGTGGTCAAATAAAACAAAGCAAAAGAACAGTTGTAGCAGATAGTAAATATGTGTATGTATGGTGTTGGTAGTTAAAAGCAAATTTAAAGAAAACTTAATTTGTAATCAAGTGCAATTAGTTACAGTTTTAGTTAGATTTAGTACTAAGCATGTTTAGGTATGCTGAATGAGGAAATTTTGCAATTTCATACCTTCAATACTGAAATATTGATTGCATAGTACATTTAGTTTATAAAACATTGGCATACATATTACATACATATTAATCATGTTACTAGTTACATCTCAGTTAAACTGGGAAGCGCTTGAAATCGAACAACTCAGAGTGTTTTATACACGAAGGCTTTATAAATGGTTTAATTAACAGTTATAATATTACATACATGTATCAGTGCTTTTTCATGACTTATATCAATTATTATAGGGATTTTTATTATTTGTGTTAAACAGAAACTTAATGAATATTTCTTTTATATTTATTTTTCAAAAGCTAAGTATCCATAACGGTTATATTGCGCTTGTTAGTCCTTATTTAATACATATATAAAACATTAGCTGCGTAAGTTTTTCAAGTTTTTCTTTTTTCTAATTCTCCTTTGTAAAAAAATTGTCTTTCATCAATGTGACACACACATTCTTATGGTTAATAATATTTTATGCTCGTACAATATAATTGATGATCAACAACGGTTCATGAGATCGCAAAACTACTATAGCTCATTATGTATGGTTTCGATCCGTTGTGTTAGGTTATCATTCTTGTAAATAAATTCGCACACAACGCTCACCTTTTTCAACAGCTCAATGGCAGTTTGCAATACCTTGTGCCATTTCTTCAACTCCGTCTCATGCAAGATCTCCTGTTGACGCAACAATTCAATCCACGCTTCATTCGAGTTTGGCAATTCCCTGTGATCAGAGAAAAAGAAAAATGTGATAATTAATATTTTAGTGTTTTTTTGGACAAAATTTACTTTAAGGCCGCCAAGTTGGGCAAACGCGCTCTAGTGCTTAGATCTCCATCGATGCGCTCCTCCAACGTCCAGAGTTTGAATAGGAGCATTACATTTAAAGTGATTAGGAAAAACAGTAGCGCTATCACAAACACCGAGAGCCATTTGTGTTTGTTCTGCGGCTCGACTTCCATAGCCGGCTGCTGGGCTGCCACAACTGCCAGACGCGGCAATTGCCGCCGATTGCCGCTGGTTACGACAGCTTCAAGTGGCTCCGTTTTGATTTGTGCTTCGGGAACATCCTCCGTGGAACGTACTTGGGCTGCAATACCTTTAGAGAAGAAGAAGAAGAGGTAGAGAAAATAGGGAAATGATGAGGAACAGACTTAAGATTAAAATAAAATATAAATATGAGTACACATGCGGAATTGTTTTTTGAAGAATATTATTTCCGTGCATATATAAATTAATATAAAATGTATGGTGATGAGTGCATGAGCATGAGTTGAAGCTCAAAAACAAATAATTTAAGTGAGTAAAAGAGCCACACTTTGCATACCAACACCCACATCCCCAAATCTAAAGGGAGATAAATTCAAAAATGCAATTTAGACACTATGCAGCGGCGCTACATAAGATGCTAGATGCTAAAACGTTTTCAAATTAAAATCGGGATGTACGAAATAATAGAAACTAATAATTGTGCCTCTCCAGTACTATGGTGGGGACAAAATAATTATTTCTCTATATTTCTTAATTACTTTTGTTGCTGCCGATTGAAAGGAAAAGCCAATTTAAATTTATACTACTGCATGCTCTGTAGGAGATTTCGAAAAGGGAACTCTACAGGTCGCTCTTGAATTATACCTTCAGTTATGGCATTTCTAATCGAATTAACGTCTTTTCCATGTAATTGCAAAACTTTCTCAATTGAATTATGCTGCTTTTGACTTTTATGTTGGTGATAGTGGTTGTGATGTTGACCGAGCTGAACACAGCTTTCAACACTACTAGCGCAAAGCTGATGATGAGAGTTGTCGCTTGGTGGTTTGTAATGATTAATGGCGGTGCTGTTAGCAATGCTAGAGAGGAACTTTGTGGTGAACGTGAAATTTGAAGTTGCGGATGTGGATGCATTAGTGGAAGCGCAAGTAACAGTAGAAGTGGTGGTTGTGATTGCAGTTGCAGTTGCAGTTGCAGTAGTATTAGTAGTAGTAGTAGTAGTAGAAGTGATGGTAGTTATGGTGGTGGTATTGGAGATGGTGGTGGTGGTAGCAGTGGCAATGGCAGTGACAAAAAAGGTGGTTGCATCAATTGTTGTTATCGCAGTTGAATTTAACGAACATTGATCAATTTTGTCGTAAACATTGGCATTTGTATTGGTATTTGTTAGTTTGATGTGCTTACCGCGACGTGGACGACGTCCTTTTGCTTTGGCGGGTGGTATGCAGGTTTCATTTTGCAAAGCTTGCTGCATTGCGGCGAAATACTCCTCCAAACCAGCCCATGTATTCTTCTCTATAAATCCTTTAACGACACCCCAAATGGATTTTTTGTATTTAATTTGCGCATGAACAGACAACATCGTATGATCATCAACGGTTCTGTAGAAATGCACTAAATGAGTATGTCACTTCACGGTAATTGTATGCCCTCGAATACTCACCTTACGAGGCAGTAATGCATTAAAACACTAAAGCTATCGGCATATGGAATGCCAGCATTAACACTAGTTATATCTATGGAATACAGTTCGCCGGGAGTACTACATTCTCGCATTTCTTGCATCTCAGTCACCTGCAGGTATGAGAAAGTTTTAGAATGTGGAACAAAGATAGTTAATGTTACTAATTCAGCTATGAAGTGCTATAGGGCAGTTTAACAGCCGAAATTTCGTTAAACAAATAAAGAATTCACCACAGAAATTAATTTTAAGCTTTACCTTGGCTGCCTTGGGGCCCACGGACGCTAACAATTGCACAGTCAGGCCCAAGGTTCGTGTTTTTTTGCCCTCCTCATCGGTGATCCAGTCACCGAAAGACATATTTTCCGTTTTGCGCGTGGCATGGAATTCCAAGAAAAATTTGGACTTTGAGAAGAGCAAGTTAAAAAGCGTATCCACATTAATGGGAAGTATTGTGTGTACTAATTGACGACCTTCGTGTGTAGATGTGCATTCAGCAGTGGCGACAAAGCTGAAACCAAAAGTGAACAAAGAATTTATTATCTTGTTTCTTATAGATATCCTCTCAAGGCTCTCATATATGTATTTGCGTCGAGATATTTCTTATAATTTAATTTTTTATTAATAAAAATAATAATAATTAATCAATCTCGAGTAAATGAAACCAGCCAAGAAACTAGTCATTTTTCATTACGGATATATATATAGATAAAAGACTAATTTCTCGGCTGATAAATATAATATATATATATCCGTAATGAAAAATGACTAGTTCCTTGGCTGATTTCATTTACTCGGCAACAAATTTTCTCCATACAACAGAAATACTAAATACCTACAAATATATGTATAAATGTTAATATACAAATTGCCAAACCAAACTTACGGTGCCTTATTCTCCTCGGAGTCACTCGAGCCCGACACATCAGTTGGAAAATTGGTTGGATTTTGACATGCCGCCTCGTCACGGACGCGTGTGCTTTTTGCAACTTTACGTTTCTCGTGTGGCTGCGCTTTGAGTGTAGAGCTCTTTGTCTCCTTACTAGCGCCACTACCACTCTCAGTGGCTGTAGAGCTACTCAGCCTAGACTTGCCAGCCTCTTCGTCCGGCTTAACCGAAGTCAGAGTTAATTCTTTCGCATTCATTATGCTTCTCGATTCACGTATACGACTATTTTGATTATCACTACCTTTGTTATCTGAACCACTTGTAGACGTTGCGGTCGAAGTGTGTGTAATTGATTTATTCGAACCGAAGAAATATGATTTCGTTCGGGTTTTACTGTTGAGACCACCGCTACTTGTGCTGGAACTGTTGCCACCGCCGCTATTATGGGCGATTTGTGTGGAATTAGCCGTGTTGTATTCGCTCGTATGTGCTGAACTAACAATAGAGTTTGCGTCTTCTAGTGCTGAAACGTAATCAATGTCAGCTTCGTTTTCTGCGGCTACTGTGCTTGGGTCAATGTAGTCTTCTTCGTCATCTGTGGTTAAACCAAGTTCATCGCCATAACAATTATGCACCCATTGCCATATTTCTTGCGGTGGCATTTGCTTGTTCATCAACGTATTCTGCCATACTCGAAAGAGCATCAAAAACGCTTTGTCTCTTGTGGTGAATGTTGCAAAGAAGTACTTCTCTTTGGCAGTACTAATTGAAATGGCATTCGGTATGACGAGAGCTGTTTTTTCCTTTGTTATGGACGTAACATCCTTCCAGCGGATAGTTAAATAGGTTTCCCAACGGAAGATGTTGGCATGGAAGCAAACATAGTTCTGTGAGACATACAAACGACCCTGAACAAGTATGTCACGCTGTAGAGCGCACGAATAATCTAAAAAATAAATCAAATGACTCAATAAAAGATTGTGCAAATAATAGTAAATAAGATTACACTTACCAACAATAAGACGCTCTTCGCTCGGCACTTCCTTAAAGAGCTTTTTGAAATCCTCAGCACGGGATTTATAATTCGGATAGAGTACGTTGTACCAGGATTTCTTTTTGGCGCGCTCCGAAAGCCGAGAGCCACCTTTGGGTTTATCGGCAGCACTTAAATCGTCGCATATGCCGCGTATTAGCTCGCCAGAAGTGTCGCTTGACTTGCTGATTGTATCCTTCAAAGAGAAATCACACAGGGGATTAGTTTACATACAGATTTTGTTAAAGTGGTATCGATGAATAAATTTGAGAATACTTCTGGGACTTACGGTGAATACCCGTCTACCGAAGGCATATCAAGCACTATAAAAATGAAATGAACTGGGACAGGTGTGCACATTCTCGTTTCAAATAAAAATTTAACCGTTACGTTATCTGCGTATAATTAGTCAATAGAAATTGGTGATAAGGAATTGAAATAACCACTGTACATATGTACATATAAGTGCATGCGTTTGAATGGGAGAATGTCTGAAATCGACCACGAAAGTAAATGCGAAGGCCATAAATCGGCAAACGATTACATAGCGCGGTTATGTAAAGGGAGTATTTAGAGCTATTCGCATTTAGTTGTAAGGAAATGCAAACTAATGCTTGACTGGTGATGTTTCTTTTTATGTAGAATCTTACCTCATATGTTGTAAATGAATAATATGTGTACAGCCAGATCGTAGACCTCTACAGAGCTTTTTAATACTTCTTTACTATCGAACTATTAACCATTACCACACCAAAACACTTATCATCCCAATGGTTTAACTGAATTTTCGAATTAAAACGTAAATATAAATGCATAAAATTTTTTATAAATTATTTCAAGCGCAACAATACATTACAATACATTCTCCGCCACTACAACAATATGACTGATGTATCTTAATGTCTGTGCATAGCGGACTAGTGGTCGACAGCAGCGGTAAAACATATGCCGAATCGAATTTGTTAGAGACCTAGAGATATCAATAGGGCCAATGTAAGAGCCAACGCAAAAGCTGATAAGATTTTCCTCTCTCCCTCTAATGATATCTTCTCTTTGCAAAACATATGTACGCCAGAGCTCGTGAGCACCTGTTGATGACTAAACTAACACTAACTGTTAGATCGCTCAGAAAAAACAAATAAAAGCTCATATGGCCGGATTAGCGGCAGATAAATTAGTCAATTATATTACTGGCTCCTAACTCAGTGCGGTAAAGGTGAGAACACACACACACAAACGAAAATACGACCAAGTATGAAATGTAATGAAGCAAAACCAAAATAAATCGTTTTCTTATCAACGAAAGCTTCTATTGTTATTGTAACACAGCAGCAAAGATAAAAGCACATACAAATGTTCAGTATCTACAGCAAATAGCGTTTTAACAACGCGGCTCTGGTATTTACTATCTTCGAAAATAGCTTGAAAAGCATTTTGATTTATGTATGGGTAATTTTGGTTCCCTAGCACCCTTTTTTCACAGCAAATGTAGCTTATTGCTAATTTTGTGTTGTTGTTGTTGTTGTAGCGGATTCGCTAACCCCGCTTAGGCACAGGCTTGAGTTAGTCTAAGTCGTCGAGGTCATCTAAAGGTAGGCCCAGGAAACGAGCTGTTTCGACGGGGTTGGACCAAAGGGAGAGGGGTGTTAGATGAGTAGGTTTGAGGGGGCATGTGAAGAGGTGGTTAGTGTCGTGCGGGGACTCTCCACATGCCGGGCATACGTTAGGTATGCTGGGGTCTAGTCTGGATAGGTAGGAGTTTAACCTACTACAATATCCAGACCTAAGTTGTGTCAGGGTCACGCGGGTCTCTCGAGGCAGCTCGAGCTCGTTGTCTGCTATGGGTGGTGGTATTTCTCCGAGTACGCCATTCACTGGAAGGGAGTTCATGAAGGTGTTAACTGACTCCTGGTGAATGGCGTTCAGTGCCTGTCGATACGCCGTCCTGTCCAGCGGTTGTTGTGTGTGTTGCTGGATCGTGTCTTTGAGGTCTAGTACTCCCTTCCTGATGTGCCTAGGTGGAGGTTCAGCTTCTATTAAGTGCCTACTGGGGTGCTCCTTGCGGTAGCATCCCAGTAGGAACTGCTTGCACAGCAAGGCATTATGCTCCTTAACTCGTAGCATAGATGCTTCCCTGTGCAAGTGATGCTCCGGCGACATCAGGAGGTTTCCTGTCGCAGTCCTAAGGGCGGTGTTTTGGCAAGCCTGTAGCTTCTTCATCTGCGTCCCGTTCGTCCCCGGCGTCCAGATCGGAGCAGCATAGTTTACGACCGGCCGGCCAATTGCTTTGTAAGTAGCCAGCAAAGTTTCTTTATCTTTACCCCAGGTGCTGCCGGCTAGCGCTTTGAGTATTTTGTTGCGGCTCTGGAGTTTTGCGGCAATTGCGGTCGTATGCGGAGTGAAGGAGTGCAGGCTGTCCAGAGTTACTCCCAATATTTTTGGGTTATTTATCGTCGGAATTTTTTCGTCATCGACCTTTACATCTAGTTCAAGCCTGTACTCCTTCGTCCAGCTGGTGAAAAGGGTAGCCGAGGATTTTGTCGGTTGGATTCGTAGTTGTCTTGCAGTGAAGAAGTGGGAGAGATCAGCGAGGTAGCCGTTTACTTTCGAGCAGAGGTCATCAATATCCTGGCCAGACGCCATTATCGTACAGTCATCGGCATACGAGGTTAGGGAAACTCCTTCTGGTGGTGGAGGGAGTTTCGATATGTAAAAATTAAACAGTAGCGGGGAGAGGACACCACCCTGCGGAACCCCCTGTTTAATTTTTCTGGGTTTAGATGTTTTACCTCGGAATATTACCGATGATTGTCGACCACTCAGGTAGCCCATGACCCACCTCTGCAACCCCGGCGGTAATGAGGATTCCTCAATGTCCGTTAGTAGCACTGAATGGTTTACTGTGTCAAAGGCTTTTGACAGGTCCAGTGCTACTAGGACAGTTCGCGCGCAGGGTCGGTTTTGGTTGAGGCCATGGACTATCTGGGTGTTTATGGCGTTAAGTGCTGTTGTGGTGCTGTGCACTTTTCGGAAGCCATGCTGATGCGCTGCTGGACGCAGATGGTGAGTGAAGGTCGGGAGCAGTAAGGCCTCAAGCGTCTTCGCTACTGGGGAGAGGAGAGTTATCGGCCGATAAGACTCTCCTTTGTTGGCTGGTTTCCCCGGTTTTAGTAGCGGGACCACCCTACCCATTTTCCACACGTCGGGTATCTTTAGGGTGGTCAAGGACAGATTGAGGACCCTCGCGAGAAATTCTGCTCCCGCTGGTCCAAGATGTTTCAGCATCAGCATGCTTATTCCGTCGGGGCCGATGGATTTGGAGGCTTTCGCCTTCCCGATGACCCCCTGAACCTCCTCCCTGGAGAAATCAAGCACCGCGCTGGTGTTTGGCAGTTTGCGCATACGGCGGGTCACACGTCGTTTCGCTTTATCTACCGAGGGATGCAGTGTAAAAAGACGGCTAAAATAGCTCGCGCATCTCTTCGGGTCCGACGAGGCGCGATCACCGAATGAAATTTCCACCCGGTCATCGCGTCTCGTCGGGTTAGACAGCGACTTGACTGTGGCCCAGAGCTTGGTTGCCCCAGAGGAGAGGTTGCAGGTCCTTAGGTGCTCCTCCCACCTTTTCCGCTTATGATTGTTTACGACTCGTCGAATCTCCGCGTTTAAATCCCTGATTAGGGGATTCCCGGGATCGGAGCTTCGAAGGGTGTCGCGCCTGGTTGCTAGTACCGCCGCTTCTGTCGGAAAGTTAGGGCGGATTTCCGCAATTCGGCCTGCCGGGATGAAGCGGGCGGCAGCGGTCACGACGACCCTGCGGAATGAGCGTTCACCAGCGGTGACGTCAGTTGGAGTGGGAAGGGCACTAAAGGCGTTCTCGGTAAATTCCGTGAATCCGGGCCAATTAGCTTTTTTAAAGTTAACGAAAGTCCGGTGGTCCGCGGAAACAAAGTCGGGAGGCCTGTCAATCGAGATGTGTATGGGCAAGTGGTCCGATGCTAACGTCAGTATAGGTCGCCAGACTATACTGTTTATCAGACCAGCACTCGCAATTGTTATGTCTGGCGAGCTTTGGCAATTACCCATAACTCTGGTGGGGGTGTTATCGTTCATTGTGCAGAATGTCGAATCGTCTATCTGTTCAGCCAGCTCCATTCCTCTACGGTCATTTGACAGGCTAGAATGCCAAAGATCGTGATGCGCGTTAAAGTCGCCCAAAACCAAGCGGTTTTCGCCCCTGAGTAGCGCACCTATGTCAGGGGTGTATCCAGCTGGGCAACTTGTAACTGGAGGGATGTATATATTAAATATTTCGAGCTCGACATCGCCTGACCGGATAGCTATGCCCTGACATTCTAGGGTAGTATCCCTGCGGTCGATGTCGCCATCGATAAGACGATACTGCACGGTGTTGTGCAGGATGAACGCTAAACCCCCGCCATGGTCTCGCTCGCGATCCTTGCGGATTATGTTGTATCCGGCCCTGTTCAGAAGATCTGATCGGGCGGTCAACTTGGTTTCCTGGATCGCAGCAATTGGCAGGTGCTCCCGGCTCATGTAGTCGACTATCTCGTCAATCTTTCCCTGGAGTCCGTTGCAGTTAAATTGTAGAAGTCGGGTCTGTCTCGGGGGAGCGTTCGTGATACGGGGAGTGAGGGAGTGATGCGTGGATGATGTGTGTTGCTGCTGTACTACCCGCGGGAGTTGGTTCCGCACATTGGTGTTAATTGGCGGAGGGTTTGTAGAGATATGCGGGGGCAGACTCCTACAGCAAGGGGCAACGTACGCATCGCTCCACTCACGGGTGGTGCGCAGGCCAGAGCATGTCCGAAAGTGACACCAGCCAGAGCAGAAATTGCATTTGACTGAGGTCACGTTCCGACGCACTATGGTCTGACACACGGAACAGACAGTGCGGGGGACTAGGAGCTGCTGGGTAGCCCTCGCACGGGAGGAGGATGAGGAGCTGGTTGTGGGTGGGGATGGGGGTGGAGGTTGGGGGGAATCATGCTGCGGGGAGCTCCGTAAGACCGTGGAGGTCTGCAGATTACCCAGAGTGGGTATGTGTGCTGAAGGCACTGCCGTGGAGGCTGAGGGGGCGGTTGGACGCTGGCAGCATGGGGCCACATAACTTGTGGTCCATTCCCTGTGGGTCTTAAGGCCTGAGCAGGTCTTAAGATGACTCCAGCCATTGCACTGGGTGCATCTAACCGAGGTGGATGAATGGTGGAGTCTTCTTTGACACACGCAGCAGAAGTAATCCGTCGGTCCAGGGTTGGTTTCTACACCAGCCCTGATCAGAAGGATTTGGAGCAACCCAGCTGCGAGGTGTTGCTCCGTTGACGTACTTAGACTAAGGTTACCTGTAGACCTAAACGGGGTTAGGTCTCCGAAAGGGTGACAGCCCTTGGCCGGATAAAATCCGGGTCAACTCCGGTGCGTAGAACCGGCTGTCGTGAGAGTTGTGCTAATTTTGTCGCTGATATTGGTGTTTACGGGGACATCACTCAATTGATACGCGTTATCTTTACAAATAATTCTGACATATGGAAAATACAGAAATTATTTGTATTATATTTTGCGGTTTAGTGGCAAAAATTTCACTCATAAAAAGCTAAGTACTTAAAAAACGTTTAATTTTGTAATAATTTGCATTCATGCGCCCATTCTATCTAACGGGATGTCAAAATGTTGTGAACTAAATAAAAATGTGACAAATGAAAAATATAAATCAGTTTAAGTTTACCTGATCCGGCTCATAAGTCAATCGCTTGGAAACGGCGGATAGTAGCATCAAACTCAATACCACACCCATGCTGTAAGCGATGTTACAATTGTATTCCTAACTGTGTATATCTGTCAAACGCGCGTGAGATTGATTGTGCATTTGTGTGCGAGTTGTTTATGTCGTAAGTATTTTAAACAAAATTAGATTATCGCACATACTCCAGTTCATGCGGCGCAACGCAGTAAGTTTGCGCGCGCTTCTGATACAACTGACTATACGCAACGGTTTGAATAAGTAGACTAAACTCACCTCATCCGGCCGACTGCCGCTTAGTGCTCCCAGCGAACTCTGCAAGCTGCTGGATATTTTAGAAAACGATGGTGTTTTCGATAATTTACTCTTTCCCAATACAATTGAGTTATCACGGGTGAGTGCAGCTTCTCCCGTGCTAGCTGACTTGGGCAACAGGGCTTCTGCTATGGCCGCACCTACAGAGTCCCGACTGTCCGCTTCGATTACTGTATCCGGATCACTAAGCTGACGTTCAAGTGTATCAGGAACTGCTGGCGTTAGGATATCAGCCGCAGGGATTGTTTGGACCCCGGTTATGTTGTCCCCTTGTGCAGTTTGGTTGACTACTTGCTCTGCAGAGATCTCTTTGACTTTAGTGTGTGTTGCTGTGCCCGTCGATTTGTAATCACCAGCACCAGTTTCCGGCACGTTGCTTGCAGCTGCGGTGTCTCCCAGTTGTTCAGTTTTGGTAGTATTTGAGCTGCTGATTTTGCTCTCTTCGCTGCCCTCTAGTATGGGTTTCAGTTTATTGGCTTGTGCTACTCCTACTTCCTCGCTGACGGAATCTCTCCTATGAACAAATTCGCAACAACAATAAGTTCAAGTTATTATTTTTTAATTATATACATTGCTTTCGCGTAACAAACAGTGCAATAAAAAGCTATTGAAAAGAGTGCATGCAGAATTTCGCAATACTTAGGTGAAAAAGTGAGTGAGGGGTGAGTGAAAAGAGTTATTTTGGTAAATTTAATTTCGAATTTAATAAAAAATACATATGCATTACGTTACAGCAACGTTATTTTTAAACTTTTCAATGAGCATAAATTGGTGATTTCGTTACAGCAAAGAAGGAAGCGACAAAGTAGGTGCGTTTTCAACCATAATGCGATTACCTACCTTTGGGGCGCACAACAAATTTCTTTTTCTTCCTTTTTTTCGTCATTGTTTTCATCGGTACTCGCATGACTTGATAAGTTTTCAATATTTTTTATCCTACAAGAATAATTTACCATAAAAACAAAATAAAATATACAAAATGAAAAAGTAATTAAAAATAAAAATTATAAGTTTGCAAAATATACCAATAGAGCACGGTAAAGGGTACACAAATATACGCATTCAAAGGGATAAAAAGAATTAGAATAATACTATAAACTGTATGCAACAAATACAACGCCCAACTACGATTTCAGATTTGTACGGCTGATCGGATGGTTTGTTATGCATATATGTATTTAAATTGCTACCTCGAGGTTCACTAACAATTACAAATTAATATTCATTACGTATTAAGCAGCTAAATATATTTTACCAAATCACTATATATTCGACCCGCCGCGACATGTTACATATATACTATGTACATACATATACGTGTATATACATGTATGTAGTATGTATTAAAATGTTTTTGACAATTGCGATTTCACAATATTAATATTATATTAACAGCAATTACTACGCATTGAAAATCGTATATGCCAATACAACCTGCCAGGTTAGACTAACTTCTTTGCAAAAATTCTGCTCAAAAATCAAGAAATGGAAGGTTCCAATCTATGTAAGCAAAGCAAGGTTGTTAAATCCATTTACAACGGTAATAAAAACCCAATGGATGTGCTTATCAAAATTTCCGTGCACAACGATTGTGTGCAGGTATCAAATGAAGTGGGAAATGTTTCTCGAATATAGGTATTGGCGCATTTATGTATTATGTATAACGTATGAACAAATGCGGTGGTGCATTATGAGGACGCTTCAAATATAATGCGTGGTGCAGCTGGTATTTCGATGGAGGTTACTTTCGTTTCTCTAATTTAAACAAAAATGCATAGGTGAAAGTTTATATTTGAGATAGTTGAAAGGTCTACATATTGACGTTGCATTAGAAAAGCATTTTTCTTTTTTTTATTTCAACGAGTTACTGCTGCAAAGTGCAATGATATTTACAAATAATAAGTTGACATAATATCCTTTCATTTATTTAATATTCAAATATAGCATGTAAATTTGTATATGTACTATTGCTTATATTCGTAACCCTTATCATCCAGAAGTTGTCTTGCAGTGTACAGTAGTATGTAAATGATAGGCAGCTTTAATAACTTTTGTCTACGGCACACATCGACATTTCTAATCAGCGCGCATACATATTTACAAAAATGTATATATCAACATCAGTGATAAGAGTTTATTAATCAACGATTCCAATTGCTCTATTATTAGATTAACCAGGGATTTGAATATATGAGCTTTTCATAGCAAAATTGGTAATATGAAACACAACAAAGCGGTAAAATTGATAAATCGAAATTTATTTGGAGATAAGCCACTCGCAGGTTGCCATTTTTGCGTGCATATGATTGAATGTTTGTACGAATTCGCATCGCGGCACATTTATTAAATTTGTTCTTACACTTCCAGCTCATTTTAAAACAGTACGATAAATATTTTATCAAAGCTCAGTTCATGCTAATTAAGGAAAGATAAACAAAAACCGGTTTACAAGCTGACAAATGTTGGATTAATACGTGTACCAGCACCTTTTGGGAACTGCTTGAGAATTGCATATAAGACAGCAGCTCAACTACACGTACTAATGGATTAACCATGCAAAAGCGTTAATGTAACTGGTCAAAATAAGGTTAAACTCTATGTGAGCCAATACGCACAAACTACTTGCACACGGTTATATATAAACTTAGATACATATGTGTTGGAAAATCAATATATTACATTTTTCGATTTAACTTCCACGCGATATAGTTATCCGGCCTCTCCAGTTGTTGATTATCACTATTATTTGGTTTATATTTTATTCGTTATGTATTTCGATTGAAACTTTTTATGCAAAATAACCACTTTATAAACTTTTTATTATGCATTTAACTACATATTATGAGATGTGATTTTTAAAAAGTTCCCGTAGTTGGGTATGAATAAATAAGGCACACAAATATATTGTTGTAGTGGCAACGTATGGACCAAAGCCGATCCAGTGATGTGGTCATCTGCTCTAACTAACGCCACAACTGTCGAAAGCGGCAGAGCAGAATAGAGCGATATCAGCTCGTGTGTTAATGGGAAAAGGCACCTAGACGACTGATATGAAGATTAAAGCAATCACAAATTTAGTAGGGAGCATAATGGTAAAACGTCACTTAAAAGAGAATTGCGAGAAGAAATATTGGCATATTTTTATTATTTGGTTCTTTTGCTGCTGTTTTATACACTTACAAATTTATATCATTATCGCGAAACTTGTGTATAAAAGAGCATATAAACATGCTTATACGTATATGTGTCAGTGTTCATTTTGAGAAGAATTTGGTAGAGAAAGGAATCTTTAGGATAAAAAAAATTGTCTGCAGATTAGAGTAGTTATTTTTTATTCATATATGTATGTTAATTACAACTGCAGGTTTTAGATACACTTCTTGATAGGAGTATAGCATGCAAGCTTAGCAAAAAATATCTGTATAGGTACTTTGATATTATTACTAATTGGTACAAAAGATTAAATTAAAAGATTAAACTAAAAGCTTTACATCGTCTATCTATGAAAAATATTGCAAAAACATGCTTCCCTTATTTTTATAGAAAAAAAAACGTAAATAATTGTCAACTATAAAAGCAGTTTCTTTTATTTTTAACTTACATTAGCGTTTGCTTTGCTGACGCCGCAGCTGTTGCACTTTTTTGACCCTTTGCTCTGGGCGGTGATGTTGGACGTCCTTCTTTTAAAGTAGATTTATTATTAGAAGTACTAGTAAAATATTTTTGAGAAATTCCAACGTTGCCTTTATTGTCTATTGAACCGGTGAACAATGACGAAGACGTCGTTGCTGTGGACAGTGAGAGTTTTTCAGTAATCGTATTTTCTGTGGTCGTTGGTGTCTGAGAAGTGGCACTATTCATGTCAAGTTGAACTTCAACCAGCAAAAATTACAGTGATACTGCGCTATTTCAAATATTTGTATTATCAAACATTAAGAAAACTAATGTTATAGTAAATAGTATACGTAATTTTTTTTCAGCATGTAATATTTTGCAAACCACGACTTTTATCATTACTAAAGTGCGTATACCACTTCCTTCAAATTCCGAGTTCAGTTTTTCTGTATCTCAAGTATGAGACATGTATGAGTTCTGCGGCTTTTTATAAATTTCTCTGTACTGGTTTTGAATATTTTCCACAATTCTTTATACGTAAATTATGAATTCAACAGTAAAGATGGTTCAGACTTGTTAAGCAAATTAGTTTTGCTTTAAACAATATTTTCCAACAGGAAATTTTTCTTTACCTTTCCATTTTTTGTGCTTAATTTTTATTTTGCTATTTTGATACTAATTAATTCACATACCAAAGTGGGTTACATTTGAGCTTGCAGGTTTGCTGTAGTGTAGTATTATATGAGTACTATTTTTCAAAAAATTAAAAATTTGACCATTTATTAATTTTACATCGAGATAATTTATTTAAAAGAATACGTTTTGTGTAAACATTTTGCTATTATATAATAAAATGTAATTTGATGTAGTTTTATTCGAAAAATTTTCAAAGCGTAACTATTTGTATCACCCGTTCTTCTGCTATGAACAGTTCCCCCATTCGTAAATAAATAATTAAAAATAAGGAATAGATATTTTTTTGACATTCTACATTCTCTGCAGCATCTTCAGCATCTTTCGCAAATTGTTTGTTTTCTATTGTTGAGGACAAAATCTTTATATTGTGAAAAAATTTAATGAATTTAAAAATGAAATAATCAGTATTATTTAATATCGGCGAAGGGTTTGTGGGTGTGTTTACTTGGGCGAAGTTTAAAGTGAATTGATTTATCACAATTTGACTTGCTTGTTAAATTATCCAAATGGGCCAAACAAAGAGCCAGTTCTCCGATGAAGAGCTGCAAGATTATGAGGTAAATTATGAACTAATTATTAAAGAACAGAGATATTAATTAACTTCACACTATAAAGGACTTAACATTCTTCTCAAAGAAAGAGATTCTTCTGTAAGTATAAAAATAAGTCAAGCCCACGTCTACTTTATTTACTATTTCTACCTCGTTTGTCAACAGCGCACATAAAAAATTTAAAAGCCTTGCCCCCGAGAAAGTTGGACACAACAAGAATGCCAAATTGTCAATGAGCAAGATTTTGCAATATCCGGAATTGCGAGTAAACCCTTTTGGTGATCGGATATGCAAAGTGTTTAGCTCAAGTGAAGATGGTGACATGACTTTTGAAGACTTCTTGGACATGATGAACGTATTCAGCGATGCTTGTCCAAAAAAGTTAAAAGCGGAGTATGCTTTTCGTATTTGGGGTAAGCTATAATTTTTGACTAGTTAATTGCTAGAAATGAAATTATTGTTTTTTAAGATTTCGATGGGGATGATATGCTGGGTGTTTCGGATTTGAAGCAAGTTATAGAACGTTTATGCGGCTCCGAAAATAAGTTAGATGATTGTGATATGAAAGAAATCATACATTGCATTTTAGCGGAAGCAGACTTCGATGATGATGGAGCATTATCATTTCCCGAATTCGAACATGTCACTGATAAGTCTAGGGACTTCTTGAAGTTAGTCCTGTGTTAAGCAATCGTGTATGTTATTTAAAAATTCAGCCTTTCTTATTTCTTTGCAGCTCTTTTCGCATAAGACTTTAAAAAGCACAAAATCATTGCCAGCAGACGGCGGATTGAAAAGAAAAATTAGTTTTTTTATACCCTAATATTCTGTATATGTTCCTTTTTGCTAAGTTGTTGTATTTGAATCTCAAATTTAATTTTAAATAATTTGTCTTATAATAATTTATTCCAGCTCCATATATGGATCTTAAAAAAGTTACTCGTTACCCGCACTGGAATGAAATTAAATATTTTTATTATTTGCAATGCACATTTCATGTGTAACATGAGTATTAAATAAGACATTGAAGTATGAATGTTTTTTTTTTTTTGTCTTCAATGAGTTCTAATTGGCTTGTACGCACATGCATATATTGAATGTGGTTTTAATATTTTTAAGTTGAAGGTACTGATGTGATTTCGGAAAATCCAATTGCCACATGTGCTGTAGTTTAAGAAAACTATAATATTCAAAAGATGTATTTATACACTTCCAACACGCATTTATGGTATTGTATTGCAAAAAATTTGATAAATAAAGTTTTTCCTTCAATAAAAATGTCAACTTTTGCATTCAAACCGTTCAAAGACATTTTATTTTTATATCAAGATCCTTTTTCTTACAAAATAAATTAGAGATAAAATATTAAAGGGACAAAATAATGTCAAGGCTTTCCCCATCACGGCTGCAAATAGCTAGGTAACTTCATACGCATAAAAAGCCAAGTTGTGAAAAATGAGACGAGAATAAATATAAAGCCCATTGCAGTCAAGAGAAATCTATTGAGGTTTGTCTTCCCCGGTATATGTGTTTGATCCATTATAATGAAACCTAGTCCACCCATAGTGAACAAAAAGCTACTGGCCAAACCTTCCATTATATACTGGCCGTTTACCCGGTAAGGCATAAAAGCCACTGGTCTCGAATGCCCGTGCTCATCAACTGTAGCACCAACACTAGGTGGTTCCACAATTACATCATATATTATACCTGTAAGGGGAAAATATATAATTTACAATTATAGGTGGGCGTGGGCTGTTAGCTGCTTACCACCGGTCACCAAGAAATAGGACAACAAAACAATCGAAAACATAACCATTGGTGAAGGTTTTCGAAACCATGCTGGTCGACGTATTTTGATATTTGGTGGCACCAAGATGTGAAATGGCAAGTTATACAGAGATTCTATCATAATTCACAAAACTACAATAAACAATTTCGTAAAATATAAAAAGGTACCGGTGTCGAAAATTCGTTGACGTACACAAATTGCAGGGTTGCATTTCCAAATAAAGCGCCGACAGTTAAAAGTTGACGCCGTTAAAAATGATTGAGAAATGTAACGCAATATAATAAGTTTTCTCTGTATTAATATTAACAATTTACTATAGATTTAATAGCGGATAAAAATGTTAACATTTTTGAATATATATCAATAATGTTTTTGCTTGAATGTGAATTTACAATAGTTCGTTTAAATCACAATACAGAAAAATGCAACCTTTAAATTTTAAAGGTGACTCAAAGTAAAAGGAAATTTCAGGTGTGTTCGATTGGGAAGGCCAATACACACAAGCCAATAAACCATATGAATAGAACAGATGTTTGCATATTTCTTATACATCCGATGAAAAAGGAACCAGCATATACAATATATTATCAAGAAAGCTTTAAATCATCTTATTGTCTCTTGTATCAAATTATTTTACTCACTAATGAATTAAATCGTGAGGAAGCGATTTCGTTCCACTAACTCTTCAAGATATACCCTAGTAATATTTTAAATTTAAATAACTTATGATTTCAACCAAATAAAGGCAACTATATATGTAAACCCACCATTATTCTGTTGTAAATATGTTTTGGAGCATAATTTTGCAACTTCCCAAAAAAGAATTATGAAATATTTTGCTTCTGCTACATATATCCAAACTGGAACGATTTAGTAGCAAGTTGTACTGATTAGTGGCTGCACGAACAGAAATATTATGACAGTTTTTTATTGTTCATAAAAACCGAAGAGAATTGTTCAACTTCATTTTTTACTCATATTCGGAAAAATGGAAGAGTTTCGTAAGGCGGATATTCCATGTATGTAAACTAAACGAAATTGTAGTGCAAAGTTTAGTAATTTTCTACCGCACCATACAGTTGAGGCGCTCAGTGGTCACGAGCCATCAAAGCACGTAAAGGTTCCGCAGGACATTGGTAAATGGCAACGTTCGGAAGCATATTATGATCTCCTGGGTTTCATCAACGCTGTCAGCTATGCCATACAAGGTAAACGCATCAACGATCCTGACATTTACGTGTCGCCAACTATGAATAATGTTGTGGGCATATTCGATAAACTCAATAAGCTAGTTGATGAGTCTCCACCAGTTGACCAACCGACTCGCTTCGGCAACAAAGGATATCGTGTTTGGGCAAGAAAAATGCATCGTGTAAATACAATATTCGGCAACTCAAATTCCGGAAAAAAATGTTTGCGTATTATAATAATTAAGGTTTCACTTCTAGGACATCTTCGTATTCCTGAAAGATGCATTACCTCAAGAGAAATGTGATCTATTCAGTGAATTAGGTGCTTATTTGAGCGAGTCATTTGGCAATTCTGTACGTATCGATTACGGCACAGGCCACGAACTGTCATTTATATTCTTCCTTTGTGCGCTGTTCAAAGCTGAAATCTTTTCCGAAGAAGACAGTGTTGCCTGCGCATTACGATTATTTAACAGCTACTTGTTATTCGTTCGAAGGCTCCAAAAGGAATATCATTTAGAACCAGCCGGTAGTCAAGGTGTATGGTCGCTGGATGATTTCCAATTCGTTCCTTTTATTTGGGGCAGTGCCCAGCTAGCATGTAAGTAATGAAAAATTATAAGCCTTTTATTTGAACGCTTAAAATCTGCTTTTAAACTTAACAGTCAGCAGTCCTTTCGAACCGGCGCGATTTCTGGATGAAGAAATAATAAACGAATACAAAGACGACTACTTATTCATTGGCTGTATTGACTATATCAATCAAGTGAAAACCGGGCACTTTGCGGAGCATTCGAATCAGTTGTGGAGCATTTCTGCGGTACCTAGTTGGACAAAAATTAACAGCGGTCTAGTGAAAATGTATCAGAAGGAGGTGTGTAATATAATTAAAATACCATCCTATAATTATGATTTATCCTTTCATTTTATGTAGATACTATCGAAATATCCAATTATGCAACATGCGCTTTTTGGCAAATTATTACGTTTTGACCCTGTAACACCCGGAACGGCTTTACCCGTTGCCCGTTTAGGTTTCATACACCCAACGTCGACGAGCTCATCGAGTACGAGCAGAATCGGCTCGCAAGTTTTGGAATTAAAGAAATTGGATACTGATGGAGGAAATTCCACAGAAAGTTGCAAGTCAGAAGATTTAAATGAAGGTCAAAAAGTCGAGGCTGATCCTACTTCAAAATCACATTAAGCAACTAAGGAGATTTATATTTAAAATAAAATGTTACTATATAATGTAATGAAAATTGCACTTACTGTTTTATATGTATTTATTAAAACGTTTAATCCCTAATCCACACGCACATACTCCACTGATTGGAAGCTGTGATGAGAAGAGATTTCTATCATAATTAAATGAGTATTAAATCACTCAAATTTCTCTTCATGCTTTTGGAAACATTTTACGCAAAATGAATTGTTTTAACGTAACGGACAACATTGTCGATAGACACGCAGACATTTCATCAATTATTTAAAATTGAAGCATTTCTTTATTTGCATAAGATTATGGCCACATTTATTTTAGTAATAAAGAAGTATATTTGGATTCAATATGCTCTAGTTGCTTTCCAATTCAATGTACCCAAAAATTCTTGTTTCACTTAATCATTTCAGAGCTTTAGGAACACAGAAAATTATTCAAAAGCTTCTGTCTACAACGCAGTAGCAATTGTGATTGGCGGACGAAAAGATGTCTTTTTGAGGCTACGCGGCGGCGAGATCAAGTGAAGAATTTTTCTAATTTATGAGCAAATTTTTGGGAGTTTTCGAACAGTAGTGTTTCGGTTTTGTTTAGTACTTATGTTTTGTGCAGTTTTTCAAATGTAAAAAAGAAATATTGGTAATCTGCAACCAATGGGAAAATCTGCAAATAATATATTTTATTTTGAAAAAAAAACTTTGTTAAAAATAAACACAAATAAGTGACGTAACATTTTCCCTGCGATAAGAGCTTTCGTGAAAGAGGAAAATGAGAATATAAATGCCGCTGTTTTGAAGAGAGTTTTTCATTGCACTCAAGTAAACAAATAAATGTTTGTTTTTGTTTACAATATTGTGTTTGTAAACAAATAGAAGTCACGTGCTTGGCGATAAATACCTAAATAATAACTTTATTTCTACCTGACATAGCAAAATCAATCAATTGTAAAATTATAAAATTGATTAATTTATTTATTTCAATAACCGCTATACAAGTCGGTGATTTTGAGTATGTCGAAAAAGTGTACCGTTCGTTCGCTCAGCGACAGCGCTCTGGCCGAGCTTGCCAATCAGATTGTTTCGACGATCGGCTATGCCAAATACGCACCGGATGTTGTGCTGGACATCGACATTGTGATGGTCGACATCAATCAATATCTGGAACAGACAGGTGCCACCTGGTACGTATATCAGGATCTGCTGCGCGTTATACTCAGTTCCGACTATTTGGATGCCAACATGCGATTCACTTGCCTGCAAATGCTGCTTAATGGCAGTGTTGCCTTTTTGGTCACCGAGGTCTTTCCTTTTTCGTATTATGAAAAAATTCTTCAAGTTATTGCCGCCCAAGGAACCGGACTGCGTGTGCTCAACTTAAAGGGTGTGTGGGTCAAGGAGGAGCACATGCATTATCTTTTCGAAATCGTGCGTAAATGTCAGTACTTGACGAAGCTCTTTGTGCCCTACATTGCCAACGATGATCTACTGGAGGTAATTGGCAAATACTGTCGCCAGCTGCAGGTCTTAGACATATCTGGCGAAACAGATATTACCGAAATCGGTGTGGAGTGCATTAGTCACGGTTTGTGCAACGATAAGCTAACGGTTGTGGATATTGGTATGCCAGGGGAAGAGAATATATGCTATTCGGATATCGCACTCATATTGGAACACTGCCCCAATGTTGAGACCCTGTCCACCTACTCCTTTGTCGGCGCTTCGCTTAAGTTCGTTCATGACAATATTGACGAAGACTTTCGCTGTAAGCTACGCTATTTACATGATACCGGCACCGATGAGGAGACTTTGCGTATTATCATGAAGACTTGCCCACACCTGGAGTCACTTTATTTAGACACTCCAAAAGCGGGAGCGCTGAAAGTTCTCAATAATGTCTTCTTGAGGAAGCTGAAAATCTACAAGTTTTCCTGCTCTGAACTAATTGAGGTACTGGACAGAATTGGTCACAATCTTAGCCATCTAACCATGATTAAGGGCGTAGGCTATTTGGAGATAAGTAAACTCGCACGAATATGCCCAATGTTAATAGACTTAGATTGTTATATGATGGATGGACTCTCCTATACGAAGGATATCAACCGGTTTGAGTGTTTGGAAGGTTTGGAAATGCTGAGCAGCCCAATGTCAAACAGTTCTCTAAAGATGCTCATCTGCAGTTGTCGACAGTTGAAGCGTTTGGCTGTGGACAGCATTAGTTTTACAGATGAAGATATTGTAAAGTAAGTATTAATTTCACAAATGAACTCGCCCGGTTCCGGTTGAATAGTTAAAACAAATGAATGGAGGTTTAGAGCGAAAGAGGGCTTGGTAGTAGGGTAGGGAGTTGAACATATGAAATCGGATACTATCTCACTGCAGAGCTCTCTATTGAACAACTAGTTTATTTGTTAAGAAATACCTCAGATATTTTTTAATAATCGGAATGCAATGCTGACCACTCAGCTGCCGCGGCTGCCAGGGAAAAGTTAGGAGGATTTAAATTCCGATTAACCTTTTTTCTTCTTGGCGTGGGCACCGCTTACGCGCTAATAGGCATGATAACGCGAGGGGCGTAAATTCTTGCTTAACTTTTGGCGCTGGCTAACTGCTTCCTGTTATTCGAGTTTCTGTATTCATGCATATATGTATGCAATTCTCAAATGATCAGCAAAGTGATACAGCTAAAGGGCCTATTGTTTACAATGAAATTGACCTTCTGATGGTCCAGATCAGATATCTGACTATCTGATTTGATTCGCGCCTTCCCATCCCTGCTCATTCGAGCGGTATGCGATTGGCGTCTGTAAGCGTCATATGCCTTTTATGGCATCGATTTGAAACGAGCCCAGTGTTCTACTTAAATGCATTTAAACATTCTTCCCCACCCGCTTAGACAAGGCCAATGACTCTGCCCTGCCGCTTTGAAATCTTAATAAAGTCAATCAACACTGAGAGCTCATGTTGTTTGTGTTGATTCGCATTTCGGCTAACTGAATAGTAAGCCTAGCGACTAGCAGATTTGCAAACTGCTGTTTAAATTTTGATTCCAATGGGTACAATCACTGTTAGAAAAGGGCATTAGGTATCCTTCTGAGGATATAGAAAAGCAATTACTGTCGCTATTCTGCACGACTGAGCAGGACGGGCATGATTAGCAACTTGTAGAGTTTTCTCTTTGTTTATCGAGAGAAGTTTTTATTTTTCAAATGTCTCTTCACTCCCAAGTAGCGCCTGTTGCGTTGGATTTCCAGGCAGACATTGTTATTGGTGTTTTTGTGAGTTCCTAGTCGTACCTTTACTAGGCTCAAAATGTTTACCACCTTTCGGAAGGTCAAGGTAAAGAAATACATTTTAATCCCTTTCATGTACATGAAACGGTAGGAATACTTTGATCCGTTGTATGTAAGTACCAGATCGGGTCAAAATGTGAAGTCCCTCATTCGTCTGTTTGTATGCCAACCAGTCCTTTAGTTTTTGTGATATTTCAATCAAATCAAGTTACACTTGTTGGACTGAGAATTAATATTTGATCCTAAAACTAAATACCATAAATTTTAAACGGTTGTGGAAGATAAAAAGACTTTGGTATGACCGAAAACAGCTCTTCTTTCTGTAATTTCATCCCTTGGTAGGAAAGCCCTCCGAGAGCACTTTTGGCATGAAATAAAAAAGACCCTCATAAAAGTCCATTAGCCATTAGGACCCAGCTCAGAATGAACTGTTGATCGCCCCATTTTATAGAAAAACAGTAAAATACACCAAAAAATTGTAGAAAGGCTGGGCCGAAAACCACTTCAGCGGCTACAAAGCGTCTTTAGTGTATTAAAGGTTTAATGGAAGCTCCTTTACATTCCAGCATATTTGTGGAACACGATTTCTATGCGCTTGAAGACATCTGGTTCACTTTGGCACCAAATTTGACGGTGCAATCAATAGAGGTAACACGACAGAATGAGCGTTTTGGCTTAACTCAAGTAATAGCGTGAACGATCTTCTACAGATACTGATGGATCGCTGTCCGGAATTGCAATCGGTTGGACAATTAAGCGGATGGTCGTTGACTCCGGATGACTTGGCACTGATACGAGGCCTGCTAAAGAGCGGCAATTCTTGTCTTGTACTTACACCTAGCGGTTTTTTTCCTTGAAAGCGTTTTACATTAACCTGCACATACTCACCCACATACATACATATGTGATCTAACGCAAAATCTGCAGTCGCGGGAGAGAAGTAGAGGGAAAAGTAATTTTAAAATTTTTACTCAAAAAATGGTGTTTTGTGTTGAAAGTCAAATTAATTTAGCTAATGAGCTTGAGATTGTGCCAATACACATACGTGTATGTATTTAGTATTTATGTATATATGTATATATGTATGTATGAATGTATGTATTAAAATTATTCACTGCGTTTTAGTTGCTGTAAATTACCAAACTTCTCTGCGACTACAGATTAACAGTTAAGCTCAGCAGCAGCTAATAAATATCTGACAAACTAATATATTATACATGTATGTATGTACGTTTGTACATACATACATAAGTATTTCAGCAGCAGGTTATAGGAAAAAAATAATTAAAAATAATTAAAATACTAACAAATATTTGTACAAAGATTACGTTTGCGCACGTTTTTCCAGATGGAATTGTTTATTCATATCTGGGTTAATTATTTAATTAATTAATTTAATTCGATCGATCTGAAAATTCAAAATGCATGGCTTTAAGATTAATATTAAACATTCTAACGGTATCGTATTGAAAAGGGACTATTTCATATGACTGAATTAATAAATATTTTAATTTCTAAAAATAATTCATTTTTATTTTCCATCTTTCAGCGACTGCAGTGAATTTGAGGGCGGCACGAATTCCAAGAATGCCAAAGATGAATGTTGAATTGTTTCAAAATGTGATAGTAAAATAAAGTTATTAACTATTGTATATGGTCAAAAAGTGATATTCATATAAAAAATTAAAAACTTAAATAAATTTAACTAACACATTTAACTAAAGAAAATGATAGTTTTTTGATTAAGGATGAAGACTGAAGGTCACGTGAAGAAGACCGTTTGCCTGCCTTGCAAAGGGCACCTGCGACTAAAGTTTTTCCAAAAACGCAGATTTCCGTTTGAACGTTTGTTTATTTATTTTTAATCAAGAACAGTTTGAAAAAAGTTAATCTTAGAGATTAATTGCAATAATACTTTTGTTTAATGTGCAAAAACTAGACTCATTTGGTTTCCAAATGTCTTTTATACACGTATAAACAATTTTGCACAAATACGAGGAGGGGCTGATAAGTTCACGGCCTAAAGTACTAAATGAAGCAAATATATAGTTTTCAATTTTTTATTTTTAAGTTTCACTTTTCACATCGTGAATACAATGCCTTTATAGCACTGATAAAATGTTCTTCAGATTTCTCTTCAAAATGGTTTTCTATGGCCATTTTCATCTCACTGTAACCCTTTTTTAATTGGAGAGAAGGAAAAAGTCACTGAGAGCCAAGTCCAGACTTTTAAGGCGTCCCTCGCAACTCGAGCGGTGTGAACGGGTGTGTTGTCTTGTCGCGCTAACTTGCCAAGTCACTTCTGTACGAGTGCCTCCCGTGCCTGACTTAACAAACTGGCGTGTTACCATTGTAGTTCCCTCTTTTTGGAGGGCTTTCCCCTTTTTTATGCACTGCATTGTCTTCTGTTTGAACTCGATATCATCAACTGTTACAATGTGGTTATAAATATTATCGAAATCATAGCTCTCCAATCGTCGCTGCTTGTCGTGCGTATGCTCGGTACCCAACGCGCACTAATTTTTTTCATATTCAAATGTTCATACTAAATCTTTTCAGCTCATTCATTGCTAATCTGTAATCCTTCTGCTATCTGTCACTTCGACTTTCTGAAAATTTTTTTCAGTCACAACCGTCACTGGACGCCCCGGACGGGTGTCAGCTTCACAGATATCTCTTTCTTGTTAAAATAGCCGAGATCCTTTTTTCACCATCGTATGTGACGGGGCAGAGTCCTTTCAGCGTACTTCTCTCTTTACAAGCAACGTAATCACACCGCGGCGCTCCGAATCAAGAATTTCCAGTTTCCGTTGATAAAGTGTTGTTGCTCGTTCCTGATAAAAAATGTTGTGTAATTTATACTAATAATGAATGATGGTATGCACAGTTCATTAAATGCCACACAAATACAGTTATTTTATTTTCTAATGGCGTAGAAAATATTTTCTTATCTAAAAATATCAAGCAACTTTTGTGAATACAAAGCGATGCCAACAAGCGTCATTAGTCGGGAGGCAGTTACAACTCGATCAGTTCCTCTCAGATGAGATGGTCGTTTTAGTTAAAATTGTGTATACGCCTAATTGTATGCAACATTTTCCAATAAAGCTGTACAGTAGAGGCCAACAAAGTTTAATTATTAAATATATTCTTCGAACAAAATAATAAGGGTTTAATTTTAATAATTATATTCACCTAATTATAAATATATTCATATACATACATACATTCAATAATGCAGTAATTAAATTTTAATAGTAAAAATACCGAATTGCGATTGCTGATATATCAAATCATAATTAACATACATATGTACATATATACATATATGTAAGTATATAAAGTATGTGCATATGTATGTATATAAGAATTCCTGCATGCCTATACAGACAGGTGTGTTGTCATGGTTACATACAACTATACAAATTTTTGTGAAAAAGAAAATCAGATGTTTTTATATACAAATGTACATACATGTGTACTCGTATGTATGTATGTATGTACATATAAAGTATGTATGTATACATACACATACATATATTTCAGGCTACGCACTTCATACGGTTGTACACAAAGACGCTTTTTAAGTTACTTTCCGTTGTTTTTACAAATTCACTTTTGTTTCTGCGAGTTCACTGTACGATTTCTGACCGATAAGAACGGATGACTTGCAGAAACTATGGGCCAATAAAGATCTTTTGCTGCAGTTCATACACCTATGTACATACTTATATTTAAATTTAAATTTAAAAGTTATAGTAGGAAAAACATATATGTATAATACGTATGTTTGGCGGCTGCGATAGCCGAGTGGTTAGCATTGCGTACTGCCATTCGGAAGACTCGGGTTCAAATCCTGATGCCGTAATAACATCCAAAAAAAAAAAAACCAACAGAAAATTTATTTATTTAAATAAAAATGTCCATATTGCGATCGCCCCTCGGCAGGGAATGTCCATCCCTCCGAGTGTATTTCGGACATGAAATAAAGGCTCCTCGTAAAAAAACCAAAAGCCGTTCGGAAGCGGCATAGTATAAAGAGTAGGCCCCTCCATTTGTTGGAAGAACATGAAGCTGCAAAACCACAAATTGGATGAGGAGCTCGGCCGAAAATCGCTTCAGCAATTATAAAGCGCCAATTATATATACATACATATATGCAATATATATATATATGTTATTATGTATATCATATTTGTGTGCACAATTATACAATAAATAATAAAAAGGACTTAATGCCTTTATCTTGGCGATAAGTAAATGAACAACGTGAAAATAAACACTGTGAAATTCGCGAAAATAGTCAGGTCTACTTTGAGCGCACGCAATAAGAGCAACAACGACAACTACATAAAAAAATGTCGTATATCATTAAATGCCGGAACAACAACAACGGCAATATTAGCAGCGTATCTACGCATCGTTTCCAAAATTTCAAGTTCAACAAGTGCGTCCAACAGCCGATGTACATATACATATATATGTATGTATATATGTATGTATGTATATGCACATATGTACACAAAAAGCACGCGTATATGCATGCATGTATTTGTTATTTGTACCGACTATTGAATACAGCCTTTAACTTGCGACGCAATGGAGCAGGCAGATCTTATCAGTGTGTTGCAAAAAATGAAAAAAAGCCAACAAAAGCGGCAAAAACAACAATGCGGAAAATAAGACTTTTACAAAAATAACACATAGATAACTACATACATACATACATACAGTGTAAGTGAGTGATCAGTTATACATAGGTGCGAGTAATGCTACAATTTAAAACTTTTCCTGGTTATATACATCTATACACACATACAGACAGCCAACACATATGTATGTACATACACACCTTGTGAGTGATCACTACTATATTCGCACAAGTATGTGTAAGGTATGTCCCACGGCAAGCGAGACTGCAGATTAAATTCCTTCAATGGAACTCCAGCCACAGTTTCCGCAAAGACTTTGCTAATGGCCAGACAGTAGAAGGCGGAAAGTATACGAGTGAGAGTAGGTGGCTCTAGCGGTGTGGCTGTCGAAATACTCATGCTGCCAAATTCAGAAGACCCAAGAAAGCAAAGAGGAAACTACTTACCAGCGTCACTTCGTTCATTCTGATGGGTGCAGCACCAATCTGAACCAGTGCCCCATATTGGAGAGCACCAGCTTCGTTAAATAAATTGGCAAGCGTATGAACTGAAAAGCCTGGCTGAAATTTGTAGATCTCAATACAGAAATAATGAACAGTCGCAGACAAAAAGAGCCTTGAGATCGCACGTTTAGTGAAGAGACAGAATAATTTTCACTGCCTCAACCGCGAAGTAATATCCGAATTCGTAGTATCGCGAAGGCCACCGGTCCAGCGTACGAAAGAGGTTTGGCTTAGTCCTTAGTCGGTGCTGCCAAATGGAAAACTCCCTACCTATCAGGCCGCAACCAAAATAAGAAATAAGATATACCAAGAAGAATACTCGCCTATTTCCAATACATGCCTTTTATTTCATCATGATTTACATACGCGGAAGGTGTGGGTGCTGGTATCAGTATATTCATTCCGATGATTGCATTGACCATGCACTATTGGATCAACGCAGAAAAGGTATTCGACTTTTGTATATTTAGAATAGAATCAATACACAATTGAATAAAATGATTTTTATGTCTCGTTTTTCGTGGGCCATACCTTTCATGTACACCAATATGCTACTTTTACTTGCTATTACGAACGGTACTAGACACCTACCTTCGGCGACCGCGAGCGAAACTATAGAGCTCACGCACCGAAAAACACGCATACATACATGCGTGAGTAATCAAAGAATGTCTGGTAAAACCAACCAGCTGCTGCTGCTGACGGTGAAGAGTGCCGACAGCCGGTGGAACTTGCCGGTGGGAGAGTCGGAGAGCGGCCATGCTTTCTTGGTTTGCATGCGTGGGCTTGCTGGTGCGTATGGAGCCATCTGTGTATGGGTGCGTACACATGCATGTGCGTGTAGGCGTTTTGGCTCACAAAATTTGCGTTAATAAAATGATTTTACAATGTCACGCTTGTCTCGCCTCAAACTCTCGCACACACATACACACATACGCACTTTTACTGCGTAGCCGAAGCAGAATTCGTTGGTTCCATTGATAAGAGTGAATTTGTTTTTCATTATAAATGCTCATAAAGTTTATGACTGCTGTGGCGCACATACTAACGCATTTACAAACATACATTTGTACATATGTACGTGTACATACATACAATTGTGCGTGTTTTAATTGCCCATTTCTCTTTGTTCGGTTGTAATTAATTTAACAAAAATATAAAAATATAAAAAAGAATTAAAAAACGGAGAATTTATTGTACCTACATACGTTTGTGTATACATATGAACATATGTTTGTATGTATGTATGTACATATGTACGAATATCTATGTATGCTGTATTGGAAAATCATCATTACTAAGTGCATTTGCCGTTTCGAAAATTCGGCATCTAGAAATATCTACATATGTATTTATGGGCGAGTACATACATACATATGTATATAAAAAGCTAACTAATCAGATCTAATGAATTTTTTTTTTTTTTTTGACGAAGAGCTCTCTAGTTAACTAAAATCGCTCTTGACTTTGTTTAGAGTGAATAATGCTTTTTGTTTGTACTTATGTATGTATGTAGGTGTGTTGATTATATATTTTGCGGAATTCTTTATTTTGCTCCCAATTTATAGGCCTTTGGCCGATAAGGTAAACAATATTCAATTATACTCATACCACAAAAAAAAAATGAAAAAAATGGCACAAAGTACTGAGGAGAGCTGAAATAAAATGCAGGATCAAAAAACCGATCACCAGAGAAAGACATAACAAACTTATTCCCAGAAATCCGGCTCAAATACCAATTTACTTTACCTGATCTCGATGAACATGGCTTTACCTCTAATACCAATTGGATGAGCCTCATCGACTTCGGTATTATGAACTTCAAGCACAAATTTAGCGTAGGACACGTGGCTCCAAGGAGTCAGTATTAGCTCCACAACTCCGTGCATGAAGCGTGATGATAATGAATGATATTATGAAAACCCTCCTTGAAGGCACTTACAAATTATTCCATTTCTTGAGAAACACCAAATAATGATCACCGTAGCGAAATCACAAAGTTCGAAATACTTCTCTCCTCACACTCATCCCAACTTTGCCGATACGCAGCAAGCAAATGCGCATAAATTACTTTTTTTGTTCAACGGAAAGTCATTGCCACCGACTGTCGCTGTGATCGCCATGAAAATTTATTCTGTTTTCGTCGGACGTAGTCACCGTCGGCGCCGTTGCTGACGGGGCGGTGATCTCTTTGGTGATCTAATAGTTTTCAATAAAGCCACGATTGTGTGGGAGCAGCCAGTATTGACGAAATGGGTGCAAAAAAAAACAAAAGCAACAGCAACAACAATAACAACGATTCGAATGAAATAGTTGCACATCTAACAAAATTGGCTTTTGATTTTTTTAATTTGCAGCAATAGAATTGCACCCATTGTTGCAACATTTTTCTGTATTCTGTACGCGTGCATGCGTCAACAGCCACCAACACGTAGAGGAACAAAAGCGCAATCTCATGTACTGCGTGCTAATCAAATGCAAAGAGGTGCGAAGAGGAAGAAACGGCCCCAACACAATTTTCGACGCAGTCACTAAAGACAAAATCTTTGAGGTAGGGATAAGCGACAGTTGAGACGCCATTCCATCCTCAGAAAGTCACTGTTTTGTGTGCTCTATGGCCATGGAGTCATTGGTGCATATAACTTGAATTAGGGACTGAGAAGATCTTCTGTAGATGTCATGCAGCGGGTCGATGCATAAAAGTCCCGGAATGGAGAACTAATTCCTACAGGAAATCGCTGGTCCAAGGCCTAGCAGTATTGTTCACGCAAACACACAGCTATCAAGGAGAATGCGAGGAAATTGCATCACCATATCCAAACAAATTGTTGTTTTTTCGTTGAAAGGTTCGGATTAGATGGTAAGCAGTGTTAGCGAGACTTTCAACAATTGAAACGAAAAGAAATTGGGATCGATTGAGCATTATCTAACATCTTCCTAGGACATATTTAACCAACTTGTAGCAAGGAGAGAATGCATACAAAGACTGATGGTGGGAAAAGGAGTTTAAGGGTTCAATAACCTGAAGCGGTAAGTTCAAGTAGTATGAGATTCAGTGGGGAGGGTAGGTAAGCCTTCGAAGCATTCGCAAGTTGCTATTTGGCACGAATTGTTCTTTTTTATTTAAATTGCTTTATCCTCTCTTTAAATTCATGATAACTTTATGCTTGGGTCCCAAAGATATGGCACTTATCTTTCTGCGCTTTCTTTTTATTTTGTTTTCGTCTTCTAAACGTTTATATAATATATGGGCTATGCTACCAATTTTGAAAGCAACGAGAGAAATTTTAGTATAAAAGCTTTGCTCATTTTGCGAGAGGTCAGTGAGTGAAGTGCGTAACAAGGAATTAGTGGATTTTCTGCAATTCAAAATTAATTTAACAAGAACAAGAAATTTCGTAGAACTGATAAAGTGAGATTAAATCACGTAGAAAAGTAGAGGTACGAAAAAGTCCAGCAAAAGCGAGATTGAAAAAAAAAATTTGGTGTTTAACACACTTCATAATGTTTTGAACGGAATTGTTTAAGGTTTTTTTCTAAAATTAAAAATTTCATGACAAATTACAACAAACTCTGAAACGAGATTTATTTCTAAATCAAGTTCGCTTGCACTTATCGAAAGTGAAAGTATTCTCACTTCAAATTATGTGTAGTTTTTTTTTTTGTAGAATTTGCGCTTGAGAACAAAGAGAAATGGGGTGAAGGTCCATAGTTCAAAAACAAAATTTCATATATTTGTGTAAGAATAAATCAAAGGTATCTGCATTTCAAACTGCTACTGAGCATGTGCAAATATTTTGAAAAATATTCCTTGAAAATTTTGTTTTTTTATTAAAAAAATATTATTTAATTAATTTGTTAAATAAAATGTAATATTTTATAATTACTGCATGCCGTTAATTTGTATCCAACAAAAATTCGCACAAGCACTATTTCTTACATACATATGCATGTATGTATGTATGTACGTTTGTACAAGAAAGTATTACGTACAGATGCGATTTTTCTTTATTTTTTTTTTGTTATTTTTGCTTGCGAAATTTACATCACAATATCTGAAAACCAGTTATGGAACACGTGCGAAAAGCTTTCACGAAAGACAACAAAGCCAACAACACAGAAGCAAAATTTCAACCCTTGCATAGGCAAAAACGAGTTTTTCCTCCAAATATTTTCAAATACCCAAATACCCAAATATCATCGATAAACATCCGCACACAAACATATTTCTAATAAATTGCGAGTGCCTATTGTTTTCATATTTTTTTTTTTTTTTTTTTGGTTTTTTTCATTAAACTTCCGCACCCTTTTCTGCCAGAAAAGGCTTGGGAGCATCAGGAAATTGCAGAAAACTCAAATCTTCCCAGGGGCTCTCTAATAGGAAATGACAAAAGAAATACTCTTCATGATTTTTCGAGCGCAATCGCTTGTCACTCTCTTGATCTCTCTCTTTCTATATATATATACATGTATATGTATACGTATATATATCGAATGCCAGCTGCTCTTCGGCCTGAGCCTGTTGGAGTGCTTTGGCTGTTTGTAAGACAAGAGTGCCAAGCTTGGTTTGCTTTTCGGTAAACAAGGTGTTGGAATTGAATTAAAGTTTGATATTTTGAGTATGAAAAGCATGCCGTTTGGAAAGAGAGCGCGAGAGACGATGTTAGAATTCTTTTATTTGTTATAATTTCTGCTTTGTTACACCTATACGTATCACTATGTACATATGTATGTCGCATATATGTATACACATATGTTTATATGTGTGAACATTTGGATATGCAATAAACATGGAAGGCCGGCAAGTCAAGCAGCGTAGCTAATAATGAATGCAGACATAGATGTATTTACATACATACATCTCATTCCAGTTCATTCATTGTTTATATAAGTTTACATACCTAAACGACATCGTATGGAATTCGAGACGAGCTCCACTAAGGCAATTTTATCAAAGTTTTGCTTTCCCCAAGAAATATTATTTGTTGTATAAAGAACTTTCTGAAAACCCCGCACTACACTTTCGAGTTCCCCGACCTAAACACATACTCGTGCATATATGCATATGTACATACACGTAGATAATAACACAATCAAGGGCAAATTAGTTTTGTTTATTGGGGGAAAATTTGGAAATATTAAAATGTTAGATCCCACCATTTTCGGAAAGGAACGCTAATGCTCGGCCTAAGGTCGCTCTAGCGCTTACAAAGCTTACAATATAGACTTGAAGGATCACCGTTATATACACATACTTGCTAATATTCAGTGATTTGTAGGCACACGAAAAAGGCATGCACAGCACTGTTCATTATTTACTTACACGCACATAGGCAAATGTATGTATGTATGTACATACATACTTAAGCTCCATGCGTATACAAATACATAAGCACATAATGTTCGAATTATAAAGCAACAAAAAACGCGCAAGCTATTTTCAAACAAAAAAAGTTTCGAACCAAACCAAATGCCAAGGTATTGGTGGAGCCCATGCGTTTTATAAATGTAAACTAAGAGAGTACATGGATCCACTGCAAGAGCGACAACGCTACGAGGTTGCAATGAGTGTGTTGTTAACAAGGGGGGGAGCTAAAGGGGGATCAGCCGCAAGCGACGGCCACAGAGAACGCAGAGACGGCAAGTGCCCATGGATCGCTGGTACGCTGATACGCGGGCTGGCTGGCTGGTTGGTTGGTCTCGGTCGCTTGCTTGCTTGCTTGCTTGCTTGCTTGGCTGCTTGGCTGCTTGGCCGATGTGCGAGGGCATGATTTAAATTCAACGCAGACAGACGTTCAGCGGTCTTTGACGACGAAAGACCAGATCAGTTAAGATCACACGTTCAGTGGCGGTGGCACACACGGCGCGAAAGAAAAGTAAAGCACATCAAACGAAAATAATTTATAACAACAAAAACAACACTAAAAGAATGTGAAAATTTAGACGAATACGTTGAAAATCAAAAGTAGAGGAGTAATCGAAGGTGTAACGAAAGAAGCACAACATCAAAAGGAAGAGCGATACGAAAAACGACACAAGAGGAAAAGAAAGAACGATCAGAAATTCACTTTGTCTTTGTTGTTGTTGGTCGCTTTTATCTCTGTTTATTTCCTTCCAACGCACACATTTTCTTGTCTTCCATTGTTGATCAAACAAAGAGGTTACAAAATACCTGCAAAAACAATAAAAAACAAAAACAAAAACTAAAACACACAAAAAAGCGATGCTTAAAATGTAAATGTAATAAAATTGTGAGACCAAAAGGAGTCAAAGTGTAATGAGAAAGAAAGAAAATGTATAACAAAAAAGAAGTGTAAAATGATGAAAATCAAAAATAAAGAATCATACATAAAAAGTGAAATATATATATATATTCATGTGCATAACGACGAACACAACGTGAGCTATATTTATACATATCTACATATAATACATATAAGCGACAAGAAATGTGTCAGCTGTAGACCTCGTAGTGGGTATACACGTGTGAAATTCCTGCAACAAACAAATTAACGGTTTGTTTAACGTTCTTGTTTTTGGAGGCGATCTGTTTATCTACCTAAAAGTATGTAGCTTCAAATTCGAAGCGTTATTCGACAAAAGAGCCCAAGTGTAATATTTGAAATTAAGTTTAGGTTAAAAAAAACTTAAGGCAGAATTTAAATTGGAAATTAAGAAACGCGATTTCGGTCCGTTGTGTTTTCGAAAAGTTTAAATTTTGATGTAAACTTCTTTTGGATTCTTTTAAAATGGAGTTAGGCCCTTTATGTACTGCCTCAAAGCCATGTTTATACATCCCACGGCTATAAATTATGTATATTTGTGCATAAGTGAGTTTGATTATGTTTTTAAGTTTAGTGTAGAAAACAGCAAACAGAAAGGCCAACGGTATATGAAAGTAAACAGACAAAATCGACTTGATAAGCGCAATATGAGATGAAGAGACCTTAAAATTTACTTGATATTCGCATTTATAGGTACATGGGCATATACATACATTCATACATATGTATGTATTACTTTATGTACAGAGAAGTGTATAAATATGTCTCTTTCCTAGAACACTTTATCAGTAGAAAAGGTGCGCTTGGAGCGGGAAATTAAAATTGGTTATAAGTCTTATGTACCTATACTCATACACATACATACATATGTATGTGTGTACATTGAACTGAAAGTGAGGGGAAAAGTGCAAGCAAATCTCGTCAATTTAATTAAAATTATTTGCCTAAAATTTTAGGGATTTTCTTTGGTATCTAAACATTTGGTTTGAATTTTTCGAGAAAAGTAGTTAAGGAGTACAGTTAATAATGATATTAAAAACAAACAAAAATAAAAAATTTGCGATTTTGAGACCTAGAAGATAGTGAAATAAACAATAAGCAGACTTTACAATTTTTAGATCGTAGAAAAAGCACGAATTCTTTTATATTCTGGCCATCGACATTTTGCTTGCAATGTTTATATTCAGAGGTCTTACAAGAGCTACAAAAAATTAAATTAAATTAAAATAAATTAATGAAATTATTTAAAAATCGAGGAAAATTTAATTACAGTAAGTTGAAGCAGACGAAATTAAATTGAAAGTTACAAAAAATTTGATTATTTCAAAGTGAATTAAATAGAAATAATTTAAGTATTTAAGCATTTTTTTTGGTTTTGATGTATGCGACTTAAAATAGATTAAAAATCGATCTTGAAAAATCTAGAGTTTCGATAATTAATCTTCCATACAAGAACCTACATAAGGTGAATCTTTACAAAAGTAGGGTGCGAAGGAAGATGGGCGGGGCGCCTTCCACCTTCCCTATTCGAAAATCAATGAATTAAACTTTTGGTCAGTATATCTATACTCGTCCGTTGCCGTACTATCCAAAAAATGTTTAAGTGAAATTACAATTCATTTTATGTAAAAATATGTGAAAGTTATGTATTTTCGTCTTGTTTCTGTAAAAGTATGTAAAGCAAAAATCAATTTTATTATTATGTTTCCTATCCAAAACAAGTTTATTAAATTGAAAGTGTTTTAAATAATGAAATTAGTAAAAGAAGTGCAAAAGTGTGAAAATATGTAGCTTTTGATGGACTATTGTAGAAAAACTGCAGCACATAAATAAATAAAACAAATAGAGAACGAAAGTTTAATTCATTGGCTATAAACCCTAACATAAATTAATTAAATCAGTCAACCCGTTTAGATCCAATATGTAGTGAAAGTGGAATACATTTCCAAAGCCAACCCCTACATAATTCCATATTTCTAATTGAATTTCTATTATTTCTATTTTAAATCGCTCGGCAAAACAAATGCAGTTGGAAAATTCAAGCGAAAAATAAGAGTTTTTTTTCGAAATGAATTTCTCAAAATTGAATATTTGAATAAAAATGCAGCGCAACAAAAAAAAATCCGAAGAAATCCGAAAATTTGTGCCACAATAATTACGAAGAAATAAAAGTAAAATAGAAATAAAAACAAAGCTGTGAAAGTGCAAAGTGTCAACACGGAGGCAGCAACAGTGTGATAATGATTATTTCCAAAGATCTGTTCATATTCGGCGAACAAATATTTGCGACTATCGTACCAGAAGGCGGCAGCACACAGACTGCACAACAACAACAACCGCAGCAACAATTATTGTCACTCGAACAACCGCTGCAACAGGAACAACAACAACAACAGAAACAGCAGCAGCAGCAATTGACAATTATAAATACAACAACATTTACGAGCGACGCAGAGGCCATAACAACAACGAAGCCAGCAAAGGCTAGCGCATTTGAACGCAAGGGGCAAATGAACAGCGGAGCTCTGGAAGCAACACCAGTCAACGAAGCAACCGCATTTGCCGCACTGGTCTCAAAGGAAGTAGTAGAGCCCAGGAATACATCGCACAGCCTTAAATTGGAACAGCCACAGCAAACGAGAACGCGCAAGAAGGAAAACGGTGGTGTGGACGGCTGCAGGCCAAATAAGTTGAGCACGAATAGTGCACAAACAACAGCAACAAAGCCAACACCGTTGTCGACAGGAAGCGACACGGCGACATCATCAGTGATCATTCAGTTGGACGAAGACGCCAACGGCAAGAAGAAGTCATTAATGAAGAGAAACTTAGCAAAAATTATCGCAAAACCGGCAACAGCTCTTACGGCTACGGTAATTGCTGGTGGAGCAACCGGCATTGGCACGGGCAGTGGTGCAGGCGCAGGTGCGGTTACGGCGGCCGCTGGAGCGAGCATAAAGACAACCGCAAAAAAGGTTATTGAAGTGGCAAATCAAACAAACGATTTCGCAATACACGAGGTAGCACCACTGCTGCCGGCCGAACGTGTTGAGTTGCAAATACAGCCACAACAACAATTGGAGCAAACAATCGCCGATCATCATCGTCATCTGCGTCTACAACTGCATTGCGACTTGCCACTCGCAGCGACAGCTGAGGAAGGCGATCTGCCATCCGCTTCGACCACAACAACAACAGCAACAACAATTGTCGATACTTCCGATCACAGCAGCTACAACACGACGACCGCTGTCCCCGATCCAACGCCAGCACCGCATTTCACTGCCGGCCACAATTCAAACCTCAACTCCGATGAGGACCTGCCGTCATTGACAACAACTACGACGACAACAACAACAGCCACAATGAGCAAAGTCATTTTGGGCAACAACACAAGGTTGGTGGACTTGTAGTGCATACTCGTATACGCATGCGCATATATGTATAAGATCATTTCACATTTTTATTATTATTGTATTTTTACTACTCATGCACAAATATAGCACATATATACAGTCATATACATATGTACTCGTATATATATGTACATACATACGTGTATGTATAAATGTGTATGCACTTACTTATTTCCTGTTTGCGTGCAGCTGATATTTGCCTCCACTTGTATAATATTGCTCTCGTACGGACATATGCATTTGCACATACGAGTATGTACGTATGTATATATGTGTGATCCTCTGTCCATAGGTGCATACGAGAGTGGTTTTCCATTTGCCGTGTTACCGATACACGTTTTCGAATTAGTAATTTTGCAATTTTATGTTGTTTTTGTTGTTGCTGGTGAGTTTAGTGGTTCGATCGATGAATTGTCAATATCCATAGAGGCTGTACACGATTATTCACACACATATGGATACGTTTGTATGTTTGCGTTGTGAATGGTTTCGCTGAATGCGGCGAAATGTGAATTGCTTACGGAAATTGTGATGCACTTGGGTTGGGCCTTAATTGCTACTTCAAACGCCGCTCAAAAGTAATTGTTCGCGGAAATTTTGGTGCGCTGAAGGAGATGTTTTGGCCGGTTATACAAGTATGAGTTTACTAACTTACTTACAAATACTATGCCGGCTTTCTTGTGTTTCTTCTATCTGGAAAATAGCAAAGAGCGGAAGATGTTATTTCAAAATCTCGCACCAAGCCTCCTTCTAAATAACTTTTTATCTTATTTTTTTTTAATTTATATAATTTTATATTTAATTTTATTTTATTTTATTTTATTTTATTTTATTTTATTTTATTTTATTTTATTTTATTTTATTTTATTTTATTTTATTTTATTTTATTTTATTTTATTTTATTTTATTTTATTTTATTTTATTTTATTTTATTTTATTTTATTTTATTTTATTTTATTTTATTTTATTTTATTTTATTTTATTTTATTTTATTTTATTTTATTTTATTTTATTTTATTTTATTTTATTTTATTTTATTTTATTTTATTTTATTTTATTTTATTTTATTTTATTTTATTTTATTTTATTTTATTTTATTTTATTTTATTTTATTTTATTTTATTTTATTTTATTTTATTTTATTTTATTTTATTTTATTTTATTTTATTTTATTTTATTTTATTTTATTTTATTTTATTTTATTTTATTTTATTTTATTTTATTTTATTTTATTTTATTTTATTTTATTTTATTTTATTTTATTTTATTTTATTTTATTTTATTTTATTTTATTTTATTTTATTTTATTTTATTTTATTTTATTTTATTTTATTTTATTTTATTTTATTTTATTTTATTTTATTTTATTTTATTTTATTTTATTTTATTTTATTTTATTTTATTTTATTTTATTTTATTTTATTTTATTTTATTTTATTTTATTTTATTTTATTTTATTTTATTTTATTTTATTTTAATTTATTTTATTTTATTTTATTTTATTTTATTTCTTTCCCCTTGGATTTTTTGCTAATTCTTTGTGTTTTATTCAATTATATTTATCTATTATTTATTTATTAAATTTTTTTTGGAACACCAACACCTATCGAAACTGCGCCATGTGCATAGTCTTAAAGTTATATTTCCTTAGCTTCTTCTACCAAAATATCCAAATTTATAGTTCCATGTGCATATGTGAATGCGTTGTTCGTATAATTCTTCGAATGCACTCTCATCTCTGCTTTCTCGGTCTTCTGTTTTTTTTCCATAATCTTGCCGAAAATTTAGGTTAACTTACAAGCTAAACTATGGAAACAACAACAAACGTATACCTATAAATAAGCGCTCATACTGTACGTGTATGTATGTGTAAATATAATATGTACATATGTACGTTTCATCCATATGTGCATAAGCGGTGCATATTTCATTTAATCTTAACGGTAGCGCAACAAAGTTTGGTAGAATAAACAGATGCAGTCTGTAAGTCGACTTGTTGCTGCACGTAAAATTGGGACGCATGCAGATCTGCTTTAGATATACATATATGTATTGTACAAATGTACGTGCAAACATCTAGATATGTATATAACAGTGTAAATGCATTACTAAAGTATAAGAGAGAAGAATAAATAAGGAGAAGACTAAAAAACCTAACAGAAACTTGAAACCCGGCTTAACAATCTTTTGCTTTTTGAAAATTTGGCACATATTTTGTTGTTGCATTTTTGTTTATATTATTTCTGGAAAAAGCTTAAATCTCATATGCACTTTGAAAATGCTATTCTGACGAACATCCCAAAAAAGCACATCCTTATGCATATGTATTGTAATGTGGCAACCCTATGCCTACGAGCATCAACAAAATTTTTAGCATAATTTTTACATAGGTGTATATATATGTATGTAGTATTTATGGATGTATGCATGTACTCCTTCTGATGCCTGTATGTAAATGATAACACATATATGTGTCTGTGTACATTTACATACGTACATACTATAGACGTATGTATGTGTACCCAAACGAGTGTAGAAAACACGAAAAAGGTGCATCCATACATAAAGTTGAGTAAACAAACAAGAAAGTGCAAGGAAAGGCACGTAAAAATACCCGTTTTTCAGCTGAATTAACCAACAGATCCCTCCCCTTCCCTTTCCTTCCCGGCACCAGCTCGCTTCTCCAGCCAACCCATAAATACTCACAACTGAAAACTGCAGTAAGCGACCGACGAGTGGTGACGGCAGGTGTGGTGCGGTGTGCAGAGCACCGGGGAGAGGGAGGAGGCGGAGGAGTGCATGTTTGGAAAAATGGGGAACCTGTTGGCGATTGAGCACAGCGCACAGCATGCAATGTGTGCAACAACATGCAAAAACAAAACAATAACAGCAATAAACAATAAAAAAAAACACCAGCTGCTGCAGCAATTATAAAAATAAACAAAGTAAATTTTAAAAAAATTATTAAAGAGTTTAATATTACAACAACGAACGGAAAAAGAAAACACACGAGGCAGAGTGAAAAAAGTCAGAAAAGGGTATAAGCTGGTATTCTGAAGTGGACCGCATGGCATCTTGAAAATGCGGTATGTTTATTAGGGAGGCTCAAAGAAATTCACTTTGCAGGCTCACCAGAATGACAAAAGATGGAAACTTCCTCCGTAAGTGAAAGAAAAGCATTGGACAGCTTTTGAATTTATTTTTTTTCTGTTAATATTTTACAAAATAATAGTTTTTTTTTCAAATATTAAGAGTTCGTATACTTCCTTATTCCTCCATTTTACCTTTTAAATTATTAAGGAAAGTAAAAACCCGAGAAATTTTTCAACTCCATATTGGCGGAAATAATTTCAATTTAATATTCAATCATTAAAATATATTTTTTCTCAAATGGTTTTTCAGGTCATTGTTCTGTTGAATTGTTTTTGGGTTTTTATGGAACTGTTGCAGACCATCTTTTTTTTAGAAATAGTTAAAAATTTACAAAAATAGTTTTGAACGGTAAAAGCTACAGCTGCTATTTCGTCATCAGACTTCTTTTTTCAGACACCTTTGTTCGAACAGGATTCTCGTTGTCACTGTTCATCCTTAAGGTATATCTTATACAAATTTAACTGTTAGGTTGGGTGAGGTTGAATTGGTTGACCCTTTGAGTCCTACGTAAACTACGCCCGCAGTGTAACCAGATACGCCACATACGATCAAGCTGAACTGCAACGCTAATTATTATCTTTTTTTTAGTTAAGTTATTGTTTCAAAAATAATATTAATATTAATAATAATATTTTTTCTTTTGTTTTTAATTGATTCTAACATTTTTAACCAATCCGAAATTATACTCCCTACCTTCCCGGTTTTTTTTTTTTGATATTTCGATAATGGCGCCAAGTTATGGCGAGCAAGCGCTGTGAATGCTTCATTTCAAGTTAGAACTCGAGCAATTTCGATTTATTTCTCGTTGAAGATTTTCAAAAAAAAAAACTCTTCCGTTAGCAACTTTTGTACCACCTTAATCTGCTTGCTTGCCTGCAGGCGATTCTCGGCATATCACACAAGATGGAGGCATAATATATAAAATATATAATGTGTGTTTTATAGGTCTTAAGGCTGCTCCAAAGTGCCTTATACAGTCGTCCACCAACATCACCAACCAACCCACTTAGTGACTTAGAATTTGCCCAGTTTGTTTTGGTTTACTCTCGAATCCTCAGCGCGTTGGTTGGGCTTGAGCGCGACTGCTGCACATGCATTATTCTTTAGCATTGTGGTTGGCACTGTCAACGATGGATGTTGATTTTACCGGCTTTTTGTTTTTTTTTTTCATTTGCTCTTCTTTATTCTGTTTTTGTTGTTGTTATTGTATTGCTGCCGTTTGGCAAGCTCCAAAAGAAGTAGGTCAATTGTGAACCAATTTTAGCCAATTGCAAAAAACTGCAATCTACATATGTATGTATGTGCGCATGTACAATACATGTGTATAAATGTTTGTTGTATGGCTTTGCACTAACTGACGCGTTAGCTTAACAAGAGTGTGTATAAGAACAACAACAAAAAACGCTCACTAAAGAATTAAAATAAATCACAGATTAATTTACTTTGAACTAAAAAGTCGAGGAAGAAGAGGACCAATAAAGGCATATTCGCAAACGCCAATACTTGTTCCAGCTCACGGAAAATGCTATTGTATCCTATGGAATATATAAATTAGTTCAAATTAAGCACCATATACATTTGGATTCCCGGGGTGGCAGAGAATTTTATTTCCACATGAAAATCTTAAATTTTTGAGGGTCGCCACGTGCTTATACCATTGTCCATTGCGAGACCCTTATCTCTGTCAGGACTTCTATTAATATGTCCAAAGTCCGCTATTTTAAAGGATATTTCCATTATCGCATTTTGTCCAGGTGTGCCAGAACTCGCGGCAGGTTTTAGTTTCGTTCCACCTTCTCGCGACTTGTTCAAATGTAAATTCCTTGAG